CAGACTACAGAACAATAGATCCACTATGATCCCATTTTTGCTTTAGCAAATTATTGATAATTTTCTCTTTCAATTATCTAGTTTTTGATGTGTTCTTTAATAAGCAAACATATTTTTGAAATTAGAAAAAATATCATTTAAACACAGATGATAGGAGATCTCACTAAACTGACCAAGTCAACTTCTTTCTTAAAATGTTAATATTGCTCCTTGAAGGTAGGGTAGCACTGATCAATGGGACTGTTCTGCAGATCTTCAGATAATTTAACCTCTCAGATAATTTAATCTCTTTAAACTATATTGTGATAGAGAAGAGAATGAGTTAATGGCTCTGAGCCAAAACTAATCACAACTAACAAGAACACATCCACCAAGTCAATGGCTGCGTACTATGTTCCAGGGGCCTTACAATCTGCCCTATCAAAACAGAGAGCACAATGGCACAGCAATTTCAATTTATGTTTCTACTTATTTGAGTAATATGAAGTCAATTTCCAGAATTTATTCCATTTCAGCAGGAGCTAGCCTGGTGAATTAAATGACTACTACCCCTGCATTGTAAGATCTGTAAGGATGACATTCAACCACATGTCCTCTGAGGTTCTGTCCTGGCCAACAAGTCCACGACCTGACCAGCACATTCTTCTCTAGCTGGCTCTTCCCATTTCACATTAGAGTAGTGGGTCTCAAACCTTAATGTGCCTGGGTCACCATGCCCCTTCTGTATGTGGGATTCAAGTCTGGAGTGGGGCCCCAAATTGTGCATTTATTATAAATTCCCCAGTAAGGCTGATGCTATTGGCCAGGGCACATATTTGGAGAACTGTGATATAGTCATACCTATAGCCTGGTGTTCATTTCACACAATATCATTTACAACTTGGTGCTTCCACCCTCCCAGGTCCTCTGCTTGGAGTCTTCCTCCATCGCCTTTACTAACTCCTGTTCATCCTCAAGACTCAAGCCCAGATGTCTCTCCGGAAAGTTTCCTTCTGGAAACTTTCAGATTGGGCTAGTTCACCTCACAGAACTCCCAAGAGACTCAGGACCTGGTAGCATCAGGCGGGGCAGAGTTTCAGTAGCTAGCCCCTACCCCAGTGTACCACTGTGGCCAACAGTGTGTGGGGGAGAGCTTAAGTGGAATACCCACATATAACCATAGGAAGGGGATGGAAACATCTTGGGCTTGGCTTACAGGTTTATGCCCGAGCTGGTTTGCTTTGTAGGTGCAAGCCAAAAATGATGGTGGCTACAATAAAACTACTCAGGAGCCATCTTTTAAAATGTGGAATTGGCCAAAGAATCAAAACTAAAACCAAATGCTTGCCTGCAAAGTCCATGAAAATACCCTTTGGTCATTTCCAAGTCCTAGAATACACATGAGACTAGCATTCTTAGTTTTAGTAGCCAGCCCCACATTGCTTTGTTGGCCCATGGGGTCAAAACTAACACAGTAACAAAGAGCAGGCGGAAGCCTCTGAAACGTCCCTACCCAGCTGAAACAGTAACCATTACAGCTTAGAGATGGTGGTGCTGCATATCAACCTGTGCATCTCAAAGATGCAGTGCGGAGCGGGGATCCAGGACCCATCTGTGGGGAATTGGACATCCCCTTGCTGAAGGGCCGCGGGGAGGAGACAAGCCAGTCAGGGTGCAGTGTAGCAATGATGAAACATACAATTTTCCTCTAGTTCTTGAATGCTTCCTTCCCCGCACTATCATGATCCCAAAACAAATCCAGGGCAACGGAGGATGTACACTAGTACAGATAGGAACTGGAAACACAGGGAATCTAGGTCAGGACCAGTGGTGAGAGTGGCGATACTGGGAAGGTAGAGGGAAGGTGAGGGAGCGGCGGAGAACAGATGACAAGGATCTACATATAACCTCCTCCCTGGGGGATGGGCAGCGGAAGTGGGTGAAGGGCGACATCTGACGGTGTAAGATATGACAAAATAATAATTTATAATTTATCAAGGGTTCATGGGGCAGGGAGGAATGGGGAGGGCGGGGAAAATGAGCTGATACCAAGGGCTCAAGTAGAAAGGAAATTTTTTGAGACTGATGAGGGAAACAAATGTACAGACGTGCTTGACACGATGGATGAATGGATTGTGGTAAGAGTTGTACGAGCCCCTAATAAAGTGATTGGAAAAAAAAAGTCCTTGGGAGCAGTCTTTTAAAATGGAGAAGGGGTACATCTTTCCAAAGGTCAAGGAAGCAATGAACGTGGGCATGGACTTTGCAGAGAAGGGACCTGAGGGGAAGATATGCACCAACTCATGGACAATGGCAGGCAGTTTGCTTCTCAGAGCCTG